AGACAGACAGACAGACAGACAGAGAGACTAGGGAGGGAGACACAAATAGAGAAAAGAATCTCCCTCCTGGGATGTGGAAATATCCTAAGAGAGGGGTCAGGTGCTCCTGGATAGTAGACAAGGCTTGGAAGTAGAAAAGAGAATAGCTCAGTGGCATAAGCTCCTGCAAGGTTCTGAGTTCGATCCCTGGTATTAAAAAAAAAAAAAAAAAAGTGGGAATGAAAAGGGAGGCATGGCAAGATTTCAAGTATCTTCATCATTTGGCAGTCTCCCACCTCTGCAGCCTGCTCCGCACACTTTCTCAATACCAGGCTCATTGGTGCCACCCAAACCCACCAGCACAACCAAGCACTCTTCAGACTGTGCTTGTCCTGCTTCTGCTCCTATGTGGTTCTTTCTCCTCTGCTTCATGCTTTGGAGCCCATCCTCCTTGAAGTCCCTTGGCCCTGTGCCACCCCCCAGCTCACACTCCCTCCTTTGGCTACCACCTGGAGATCACAGCATCTAGAGTATTACACCCCCTCTGTTGACAGAAGGGTGCCTTGCCTCTCCCTTGTATGCACGTGGGGATGCATCCTGCCTTTGATTACCACAGCTGTCTAACAGAGTATGTTCACTAGTGACTGAAAAGTGGGTGAAGCAGTTCAAAGTAGGGGGTCAGTGGGAGATAAGGATGAGGCAAACTGGAGCTGTGCGGAGAACTTGAAAGCCAAGGACAACAGTGGAAAATATATAAGGAAATCTGGAGCCATAGAAGGCTCTGGAGCCACACAGAGGCTGGATTGAAACTGTCTTCAGAGCCAGCAGGTAGAAGGTGGGCTTGAGGCGAAGGCCCAGAGTAGTGATGGTAAACCTTTGAGCATTCAATAAAAACAAATAGCCTGTTGTGCCATGTGTGCCGTAGGTTCACCACTGGCCTAGAAGAAGCCTAATTTTTCTACAGGGCATTCCAGGGGGCCTTTACCTAACCCCCGTTTCTTTCCACAGCCGAAACAATTACCTGACCCCTTGGCATTAATCGGTGAAAAGGATGCCAATCAACACCCAAACTCCAGGGCTGTGCCCCTCAGATCCCCCAGTGGGACAGAGTGCATGTATTGGAGCTACCCACTTCCTGACTAGAAATAAACTTAATACTCCTTTAGGGAAGCTGTGTGTGTGTGTGTGTGTGTGTGTGTGTGTGTGTGTGTGTGTGTGTGAAAGAGAGGGGGAGGAAGGGAGGGAAAGACAGACAGGATGGGAGGTCAGGGCTACAGAATGATGTTGTTTTACCTTGCCTGTCCTCTGACAACTCTGGGAGGATCATGGGGATGGGAAAGGGTGTGTAGTGGCCTCAGCAGAGGGTCAGAGTCAAAGCCTCAAGCCCAGCCAGCTCTGAGGTCAAGGACACATCTGGGAGTGGGATGTCCTGTGCCTGCAGCCCCGCCCAAACCCCTCCCCCACCTCAGATGCTCAAGGAAGGGTTAGAAGAGATTGTTGGGGCCTCTTTCTGAAGTCGGGATTGAACTCAGGCCCTTGTGCTTGCCAGGCAAGCACTTACTCTACTGAGCTATATTCGTGGCCCCTGGGCCATACTAGAGTGCTCTGGGGCATTTCCTGGAGGCAGGCTCTGTGGTGGCTCAGCCTATGGCAGCATCGTGTGCATTTATAGCTGACTGAGGAAGTCTGTCCCTGAATGAGGCCCAGCAAACATTGGAGCCCTGTTCCTGGGTGCTGGTGTGACACAGATGAGATGCCAACTCCGCATCTGAGGTGCTTTCCAGTGCAGTGAGAGAAACAGGCAAACCAATTTGAACTCAAAATCATGCATCTCCAGCCCAGAACATCATGGATGTTTCATTATAGCAGTTTCATTACAGGTTCATGCCCACAGATTACGCTTTTAATCCTGGTTTCATACATATAAGAAACACATGCCTATGAATAAAGGAGACATCAAGAAGGAAGAAGACATACACAGGCCGATTTTGTGCGTACAGTACTTTCTATTCTTAAATGGTAAGCAAGGCATTAAGTGTTTTGCAGTCCCCACATGTTGGGTAATTTTATCAGCCCATCTGGCTGATAAAATGTAGTTTGGGAGATTACATGAGTGACATAAGATCATACAGCTGGTGACTGGCAGAGCTGGGGACTGAAGCCTGGACCTGTGGCAACCATATTGTTTTCCTGGTATGAGAGGGAAGCCAAGACCAGGGGAGAGTCCGGTGGGAGATTCCTGAGGGCATCTGAGTAGGGCTCAGGAGAGAACCGAAAGACCATCAGAAAGCGCCCTGATGGGGCCGGGAGACGGCTCAGTGGAAAAAGCGCTTCCCCCACAAGCGCAAGGGCCTGAGTTCAATCCCTGGTTCCTCCAAAAAAAAAAAAAAAAAAAAAAAGAAAGCGCCCTGAAGCCAAGAGCAGCTGGGTGCTGTGGCAGGCGCCTGTAAACCCAGCACCTGGGAGGCTGAGGCAGGAGTGACATAGGACCTCCAAATAATGTAGGAAAACAGTATTCCTCTCAACCTGCTAGATATCAGATACTCTGAGTTCATGTTCCCCAAAATCAATAAATGCTAGGTACAATGGAGGTTAATAACAGTGGGAAATTTTATTGAGAGATGGTCCTGAGAGGCAGGAGGAGGCCTGAGTGGGTTGCCAAGGAGCTCACTTCTCAAAGGAAGTTTTATAGAGCAAAATCACAAGATGGGTACAACATGGGACAAAACTATGATCAACCAATAAGATTACAAGTACAACCACTTAGGTAATGTAGATCCAGTGGGGAAGCAGGTCACAACACAAGTGCACAGGAAAAGAACAAGGCCTTTTTTTGGAAAAGAAGTATCAGGATGTCTTGGTCACCCACCTGGGTCACTGGTGTCTATCTAGACTTTATTGGACTAAGTGTTAGCAGCACATAAGCCTGGCCATTCTGTCTTTGCAGTTGTAATGTGTTCTCATCCCATGCACTGACTCCTTCAAGGGCCTGTACCTGTCTGCCTGTATTTGTACCTAACTTAGCTGCCTTGAGTGTGAGGCCATTCTGGGAGTTCAAGGCTCATCTGAACATAGTGAGAGCTTTGTCTGAAAAACACCCACTCCCCAAATTTTAAAAACCAAGAACAGCGGCATGGGCCAGGAGTCCCAGGAGGATGATTTGAGCCAGAGGGCCAGGGAGGAAAGGAAGGAGGGAGGGAAGGAGGGCGGGAGGAACGGAGAAGAGGCAGGAAGAGAGGAAGGGAGGGAGGGAGGGAGGGAGGAAGGAAGGAAGGAAGGAAGGAAGGAAGGAAGGAAGGAAAGAAAGAAAAAGAGGGACAAAAAAAGATGGTGTGAGAAACCTCTCAGAGTTGCTGACAGTGGCCATGGTTCCCAGATCTTAGCCTCCAAGGGTGCTTTGTGTGTGTGTGTGTGTGTGTGTGTGTGTGTGTGTGTGTGTGTGTGGCCAGCTCAGCCCACCAGGGGGCGGGGCTGGCTGGCATGTGGTGCTGGGGGATTGAACCACGGTCCTTGTGCTTTGCTAAGCTTGTTCTAAGTAGGTGATTTAGACCACTGAGCCATCTCACCAGCCCCTCCAAGGGTGCTTTGCTCATTATAAAGAAATCATATCAGAAATTCTCAATAGACAACCATCGGGAGAGCCCAACCACTGTGATCTTGCCTCAGACCTTCTAGGCTGACCCCCAATCTAGTATGTTACCCCACACAAACCTGACCACCAGCCTCCTGGCTATTCTAGTGCCCCAGGCTCGTGTCTGCTAAGCCTCTATTCCCACCAAGCCCACCTTTTCTTCCAGGCAGGCCTCTCTAAGGTCCTCTCTTCTCCCCTATTCCTCAAGATCATGAGGACAAGGCCAGCAGCTATTCAGGGGCTCATACCCTCTGACCCACAGTGGGCTTGCTTGGCAGCTCCTCTTGAACTAATTGGGGCTCAAGAATGGGGTCTGAGATCCCTCCAGACCAACATATAGACCTACAATAGATGAATACTACTACAAAGCAACATGTGAAATACACAACCCAGGGCCTGGGGCTGGCTCAGGGGCAGGGTTAGGAATAGTGTTCACGCTGAAGATGGAATGGGGTGAGAGGAAGGGCTTTTGCACATAAAATTTTATACTAAATATCAACAGTTTTGACATATTTTTGATCCTATCTTTGCTTCATGTAAACCCCAAAACTCTCCCATCTGTGGTTCTTATTTTCTGCCTTATAGCATAGGCTCAGGGCCTGGCAAACAGCAGGTGCTCAGTAACATTGTGGATGGACAAAGGCAGGAATGCAGACCCAGGGTGGGGCCAGAGACATACCGTGAAGACAGAGATCCCACAGCACCCCCATCTCATTTTTTTCAGACTATTTAGCTGGAATGTTTGTAGATTTCAGAAAATCAATAGCTGCCCTGGCTCTTCCCGGAGGTGTGACCTTCAAAGAACAAAGAAATCACTTGCTTTTGGATGGGCTGTGGCACTTGTCAGAGAGGCTGGCGAGAGGCCTTCGAATGAATTTCTGTGTCCTGAGCAGCCCAAGGTCTGGGCCAAAGCCTGCTGCAGACGAAGGAGAACCAGGGCCACTGGGCTGGGCCAAAGCCTGCTGCAGATGAAGAAGGAGAACCAGGGCCACCGGGTCCTGGAGATGGAGGGATGGTTGTCCACAGCAGTGCTTGGGAGACTTAACTCTTGAGCGAGCTGTCGCTGCACTCAAGAAAAGATGGAGCACTCGAGTTTTGATACCTCATGCAGCTGAGAGTGGGCTAGAAGGGCTAGCCACCCCGTCTGCTGGGGACAGCTTTCCTGCTCTCTGGGTCAGAACCAGTCCTGGCTGTTACCAGCTTCCTGCCCAGCAAAGGCTGGGTAGGAGCCAGAGTCCCAGGTATCAGTGGCCAGAGCTGGAGGTCTATGTGGTTCAGGGCACAGCACTGTCCTGGCCCTGGCCCCCTGCCTGTCTTCCACCTGTGTGTACATACCAGATTCACATCTAGGCCACCTGCATCATCCTGTACGACTCTGGACAAGTCCTGGGTCTCTAGGTTCTGCCCAAAGAAAACATGCAGGTCCACCCTGCCGACTAGGTGGATGGGTTGTTTACTGAAGGTCACGTGGCCAGAAAGTCAAGATTTGAGCCTAGCACAGACACAAAGGCACCTGGCCATTCTCTCCTCAGAAGTAAAGGCCTGCCATAGGAACCACAGGCTTTTGAAGAGTCCTCCCAGGGTCACACAGGAGTAAGCATAGGACCCAGTCACATGTGGGGCTTTGAGAGGCTTTTTACTAAGGCTTCTTTCCTGTTTTCGGGCTCTCTGCAGTGTACACAGTCCTTGTGTTTCTAACCTCCCACTCCTACCTTACCGACCCAGGGCTAGGTCCTCCTGCTGGCTACCCTCCACTGACTCTCAAGTGCCCAGACCTGGGTGCTTTTCTCCTTCTCTCCCATCACCTTTGAGAAATGAAGAGGGCTGGGGGCACAGCTCAGTAGTCAAGCACTTGCCTCATGTGGGCAAGGCCCTAGGTTCCATCTCTTAAGACAGATGGAGTGCTGGGTAGAAAGAGCCTGAGTTGCAGTTGGGTATCTGTGGGCAGGGCAGGGATGGGCACAGAGGAAGTTGGAGGCAGCTGGGCTAAGCAGGCAAAGGGGTCACTGGGACAGGGTGGGCAGTGTAAAGCAAGAACAGGCCATCCTCCAGGCAGGGTAGGGCAAGGCAGGGCTATGTGGACTGGCCACTGCTCCAGGGAGAGGATGGGCAAGTTTTCTTGCTTACTAGTACCAGTCCCAGCCCTCTGGCCTTCCCAGAGGCCACTGGTCTCTCACAGCCCTACTTCCTCCTGAAGGGCTGGGGCAAAGCCCTGAGGTCAAGGGCAGCCCGGTCCACTCCCAAGGGCCCGGTGTATCCTGCAGCAGGTACTGCCAGTGTAACTCCATATGAGATCTTACAACAGACAAAGACCTTTTTTTTTTTTTCAAATAGATGAGCCAACTGAATCCGAAAACTGAGCAAATTACACAAGGCCATACAACCAGAATATCCAAAACTTAGGAGGCAAAGCCAGCACTGAGTCTCAGAACCCAGTCTGCCTCTGCGTCCTAGCATTCCCCTGTGAAGTGTGAACAGAACAAGTGGAGCTTTGGTCTGTGGTGGTCAATGTCTTTACTTCTAAAGTATACATTGGACTCACTATATATTAACATCGAAAGTGGCTACCTACAATGGAGTCATTCTTTTTTAAAAATCCAAATTCCCACATTTATATGTAAGATCCAAAAATGATGTGAAATTAAACTACAGTGTTAGGAATAGCATAACAAATTGCTTTTAGAAAGCAAATGAATGGAAAAGCAGCAGTCGGGAGTGGGCTCCATTCTTTTGAGGCATTATGACCGAGAGCCAGCACCAAGGGTAAAGTCAGCCCCTCTCTGTGGCACAGAAGGGAACCCAGTCCAACAGAAGAGGTGGATGTGGCTATGCAGATACCACAGCCCGAGGCAAGGTGGTGTCTTTCTGCCCCTCCAGCCATTGGCATGTGTACTACTCAAGTTTTTTTTTAAACCAGGACCGGGTGAAGAGGGCAGCAGCAGGGCTGATGATTCTTACAATAAAGCTTCTCTGGGCTCCAAGAAAGGCCCTGGAGATCTTGCTTGACTCTTCACCTGATAAGCACATTGCCTCCTCGATTCCTTAAACCTACTTGCTCCTCTTCTTCCCCATGCCCTGGACACCTTCTGCCCCAAGAGATCTAGCAGAGGTTATAGGAATCCCCAAAGGAGAATGCTCTGGGCTTGAAAGTAGCTGGATGTTCAGAGCCTATGATCCCTAGGGTCTGGGCCAGCAGCCAGACTGCTGGAGGGCTGCATCCCCATGGGCTGGAAGGGAACTGTGGGGTCAGAGGCCATTCACCACCCTGGCATCTGATCTGGGCTGTGAGGCAGGACTGGGGCTAGCTCACCAAGTCTACAACCCTGAGCCCCAGACACTTTGGTTCACACAACCTGGGGGAGGAGATGTGTGCACCTGCTGGGGGCGTCATGGGCTTGGCCTATCACCTCTGAGCCCTGCAGGCCTTTCCACCACACCCAACTTTCATGTCTGCAGCCCTCTACCAGAGCTCAGGGCCACAATGTAAAGGTGAGAGGGTGCTTCCAGAGCTATGGGAAAAGCTCTCAGCACATGCAGGCTGCTCATCTTCCCCCAGACAGCCCTGCCCCCGCGTTAGGGATCACAGGAACGTCTCTGCTTCCCCACTTCTGGTTAGGCCCAGACTCCTGTCCTGAACACCGAGACTGTCAGAAGTGTAGGCAAACACCTCCCCTGGCTGAGGCAGTCAGGGCATGGCTGGTCACTGTCTGCTCTCCCTCATGCCCCGGACTACACCACAACCTACCTCTGAGGTGCAGGCCCTACCATAACCCTCTCCCCTCCCCCCCCCCATCTGATTTCTAACTAGGCTGGAAGATTTGGGAAGGTTGGAGCCAGGTGACTGCCAGTGGGATTCCTGTGATGGGAAGCGTATGGGATCTGAATCTTCCTCTCCTCACTGACAGGCTGGTGCCAGGAGTGCTTGGCACTACACACCTTCCCCAACCCCAGAACCCTTATGTCCTCACTCCCAGGGACTCAGACCACTGAGCTGGGTGGGGGCCTTAGCACAATGCAGCTGTAAGGAGGCTGTAAGGAGGCGAGGCTGAAGGGGCCTAGTGGGCCACAGGGCCTCAGGGCAGGCAGGCAGCCACCTGGTAGGCACCCTCTGCAGCTGCAGCAGCAGCACTGTGCTGGGCACTGTGCTCCTGCAGCAAGGCCACGTCCAGGAAACGCTCTCCACACCATACACACTTGAACTGCTGCTCTCGGGCGTGCACACCCTGGTGCTTGTTGAGATGTTCACGCTGCTTGAAGGCCTTGTCGCAGTTGGGGCACTTGTAGGGCTTCTCGCCCGTGTGCACCCGCCGGTGGCGCTGCAGGTCTGAAGCATACTTGAAGCGCTTCTCGCAGTCTGGGCACTTGAGTGGCTTCTCACGCACAGGGTCACAGCGGTGCTGCACAAACTCTGAGGAAGAGAAGAAGCGGCGGTCGCACAGCGTGCAGCGCAGGGGCTTCTCAGCCGCAGAGCAGTGCACCAACTGGTGCTTCTGCAGGGCGGACGCCCGCTTGTAGGCCTTGTTGCACACAGGACATTTGAAGGGCCTCTCGGTGGAGCCCGGCAAGCACTTGTGCCGCAGCAGCTCAGCCGACTGGTCAAAGCCCTTCTGGCATACGGGGCACTTGAAGAGAGTCTCGAGGGTGTGTACGTGTTGGTGGTAGAGCAGGTGGCTGGGCTGTCCAAAGCCTTTCTCGCACAGGCCGCACTTGAAGGGCTCTTCCGTCTTGTGAGTGCGCCGGTGCCGCATGAGTGCGTACTGCTGCTTGAAGCCCATGGGGCACAGGTCGCACTTGAAGGGCCGCTCAGCGCTATGCGTGCGCTCATGTTGCCGCAGGTCTGATGGCCGCTTGAAGGCCTTCTGGCACTCACCGCAGCGGAAGGGCCGCTCGCCACTCGGGGTGCACGGGTGCTGCAGCAGTTCTGACGACTCTTTGAAGTGCAGCTCGCACACGTTGCAGCGGAACAGGTGGTGCTCGCCCGAGTGAGCATACATGTGGCGCACCAGGTGAGAGCGGTGCTTAAAGGTCTTCTCACACACGGCACACTTGTAGGGGCGCTCTGAGCTGTGTGTGCGCTTGTGGTGCACTAGGTGAGACGACTGGCTGAAGCTCTTGTCACACAGCGTGCACTTGTATGGCTTCTCGCCAGTATGGATCCGCTCATGACGAGAGAGCTCGGACAGGTGCTTGAAGGGCTTCTGGCAGATGGGGCAGCTGTAGGGCTTTTCAGGTTGTTCTGCAGGGGCTACAGCAGGAGGAGGGGGTGCAGGGGGAAGCGAAGGGCCAGCAGTAGTGGCTGGCTCAGAGGCTTCTGCTGGCTTATATGTCTTCTCACAGATGGAGCACTTCACAAGGCCAGTATGGGCACTGTGGTGCTGTGCCAGGGAGGTGAGTAGAGAGAAGCCCATCTTGCAGACCCCACAGACAAAAGGCTTCTGCTCAGCCTGCACACACTGGTGCTCCAGCAGGTCTGTGGCCTGGTGGAAGATCTTGAGACACTGGGTACACTGGAACGAGCGGTCGTGACCCACCAGGCACTGGTGCTCGTGTGGGCTGGACAGATGTGTCAGGTCATGACCACACACCCCACATTTGGGGCCCTGCTCACTGGCTGCCTGAAGAGGTGCATGTTGTGGGGGCTGCAGGCCTGGGTCTGGCTGCAGGAGGATGCCATAGACAGCACAGCCCAGTGGGTTCTCAGCTGTGCCTGGGGGCAGTGTGTGCTCCGCCAGGGCTGGTGGTGGTTCTGCATGATGCTGAGGTTGAGGTGGCTGTGGCTGCTGCGGCTGCGTCTGTGGTGGCTGCTGCCAGGCTTCCGACATGCTTGGGAAGATGAAACAAGGCTTGGAGAGTAATGGCTTCAGTTTCCTGCTCACCGTGACCCAACCCAAAGAGAAGCTGCCCAATCTCAGGGGTGGACAAGCACCTCAGATAAGGCACAAAAAAGGATGGGTTGGACAGCCCCAGTCATTAGCCAAGAAGACAAAATACAAGTGGGTCTACAGGACGGGGCTCTTCAAGGCAGCCCTTCCTCTGCCTTCCTGGAGGTCAGTTCTGTAGGGAAGAGAAAGACTGTGAGCTGCACCTGTCACATGGACACAGACCACATCAAGAAGAGATGCTCAGGGCTAGGAGACCTCATTCCTCACATGCCACCAAAGAAGTCTGTTGGAAGCCTGGAATCTCCAGGCAAAGTAGCTGGCAGCTATTCCCTCTCCCTCCCCACCTCATCCCTGGGCCAGGGCATCTGCTGAGTTTCCTTTAGCTTCCTGCCAACTCTCCTCAGACAAGCATCTTACAGGTGAGAGTCCCGGTGATCTGTCTATAATGTCAAGGTCTCCCTGAGGCTTGCCAACTACTCCTCCATTTGGCATCTTGTCCAAATCCAGGACACTCACCACTGGTCAGAGGATCAGCCTGTTGATCCAAAGAGACCATACCTAACTATCTAAGAGCTCAATGGCAACAGGCCTTTAGCAGTCAATATTAGGTCAACTCTATGGAACTGAAGGCCATCTCAAAAACTTTTCCTGTGAGAGATGGCCCACACTTCCCTGAACCTAACCCTAGACCCTCCACCCCAGCCACGCCCCTGTACTCTCTATACCTACATCCATCTACAGGATGGACAGCCCTGCAGGGACCTGACCCATGGGAAATACAGAGATTAGATGACAGGCTCACAGAACCACCCAGCCTTGATGGCTGTGCAGCAGAACTTTCACACTTCAGTCACATTCTAGAGCATCACAAAAAACTAAACTCTGCAGGTCTCTGTCAAGGTCTGCAGGAAAATTAAATTGCACTGGTTTACCTCCACGTAGGATGTAAACCAGTGCAATTTCTCCTCGTCTCCTCTTTGGAGATAATCCATTCCCTTGTTTCAGGTTTATAAGCTCCTGGGTAATCAATGGCAGGGAAGGCCCACTCAGCCCAGGCAAATATCTAACCACTCTGTGGCAGCATAAAGTAATGCCAGAGAGAGGAAGGAACTTTTAGTCATAGACAACCCACTTTTAGATTCCCAGCTCATCTATCACATTTAAAAAGTTTTCTTCTGAGAGGAGGAAGAATAGAAGATGCCTTCAGACCTTGCTAGCTCCTGAGAGTTTTGCCAAGAAAAACATTAAAAGTCAAGCTGAAAGTTGTCACCCTCAGCACCTTCCAGGAAGGGAGGAAGGAAAGGGGCAACTGTTCTTGGTGGAGGCAGCAAGCAGGTTGTCTGGCCAAGCAAGTACCACTTGGAGATCTAAGCTCCCCTAGAGCCTGAAGGGGAAAGGTGGGCTGCCCTGAGCACCGTCTAGGTGTGGCTGTGCCAATCCAGCTGTGGTGCTGTTTTTCCTGGCCTGAACAGCCGCCAGATCCAGCCCGCACCCCACCAGCTGCAACCTCACTGCCCACCCTGGCTACCCTCCAAGAAGGTGCAACCTGGAACCTCTGGATCACTCTGCAAAGGGGAGAAGGAGGAGGAAAACAAGGGGAGGCTCCACCAGCGCTCCACCCCAGTCCTCCTTCCCTGGGAAACCAAGTGAAAGCCGATCGCCTCCCACCGCCCGGCTGGCCCAGCTGGGCTGGCTCCTGTCAGCCCTCGCGCTGGACCGCCGGGCCACTGCGGCTGGAGAGTGAATGGCTGAGCCCGAGGAAGGCCCTACGGCCGCAGGCCTTCCTCGAAGCGTAGCCGCTTTCCGGGCCAGGGCCGCTCAGGAGCTCAGGGGGCCGCGGGTTCGGGGCAGGATGCAGCCGGGCCTGGTGGGGAGAGGGTGCAGCGGGCGCGGGAGTGGCCCCCAGACACCGCCCCGGGCATCCCCGCGCTCACCTGCTCCGGGTCGCCCGTAGGGCCAGGCGCCGGACGACGAGCAGTGACGAGCTGCTCTCTCGGCCACCTCTTTATTCCGGCTCCATCAGCGGCGGCGCGGCCTACGCGCGCTGCCAATCCTCGGCCTAGCGTAGCTGCGGAGGCTGGCCTGGAGGCGGGATCGGGCTCGCGGCGGCGGGATCCGAGGAGGCCACCCGCGAGGCCGGGATAGCGGGCCGAGACTGAGGAGCGCCGGGAGGGCAGGCGGGCGGGCGGACAGACGGATGGCCTTGCGAGACGGACGGGCTGGCGGGCGGGCGGGCGGCGCGGGGCCAGGAGGCGGGGCCGGGGGAGGAGCG